CTTCTCCGCGGTGTGGCCTGGGAACTGCCGTTTCAGCCGTCTTAGGAATGCCTCCGTGGGGTCTTCCCCATACCTCCCTGCCCTCTCCAACAGCTCATCCATCTTCATCCTGTACAATGTCTCTGCCTCCCCTTCCACTGTGTTCGGCAGGCTCAGGAAAAAGTCTACTGAGTCCATGCCGCTCCTCTCACATCGGTACCGCACATTGCCCACTTGCATGAGGTAGTTCTTCAGCGTGGGCCCCGTATGCTGATCTCCTGAGAAGCGTGTAGGCACCTCCACCCTCATGCCCACGGCCGTGCCTCCCCTTCCTTCTCCCCATGCCTCGCTCGGCCCTCCCACCGATCTCCCTGATGCTCCCCTTCCTTTTGCCCGCTGTAGGCCCTCCCTTGCTTCCTTGGCTCGCTCCAGGCTGTGCACCAGCCCACTGCTTTCTTCTCTATCGCCATGTTGCTCCCGCCCTCCCTGTCCGGCACATCTTCCGTCGTGCTGCCAATACCGGCCAGGCAATCGAGACCCACCACCGCGCCTCCCATCCCTGCTCTGCTGCCGATGCGGTGAGCGATATCCGCCTCCCCGGCTTTCTCCATGACGCAGGCGCCAGTCGGGCGAGTGCGCCTTGTCTCCCCACTTCTCTCCACGGTACCGTTGCATGTCCGGCGAGCGATTGCCTCCTCCGCGTCTCTCATCACGCGAGTAACGAGGCTCTGGCGAGCGCGAATCCCCTCTGCTTCTCCCGTTGCGATTTCTCCGCGGATCTAGTGAGTGCGTGCTGCCCCCGCGCCCACTGTCCCGGTGTTGCCTCGAATCTGGCGAGTGGTATCCACTTCCGTGTCTCCTCTCATGCAGCGGCCACGGATCTGGCGAGCGCATGCCGTCGCCGCGTCCCTTTTCACGAGTGCGCCGCAGACCTGTCGAGCGCATGCCGTCGCCGCGTCCCCCATCACGAGTGCGCCGCGGATCTGGCGAGCGCACGCCGTCGCCGCGTCCCCCATCACGAGTGCGCCGCGGATCTGGCGAGCGCACGCCGTCGCCGCTTCCCCCATCACGAGTGCGTCGCGGATCTGGCGAGCGCACACCATCGCCGGGTCCCCCATCACGAGTGCGCCGCGGATCTGGCGAGCGCATGCCGTCGCCGCGCCCCCCATCACAAGTGCGCCGGTGATCTGGCGAGCGCACGCCGTCGCCGCATCCCGCGTCGCATTGCTGACGCAAATCTGGAGAGCGCGAGCTGCTGCTACGCCTCCCGCTGCCACGCTCCTCTCCGTTGCGCGGCGGGTTTCGAGCACCACTCGTTCCGTCCGCCTCCACCGCGCTTGTCTCTGCCGCCACGCTCGCCTGCGCGAGATCTGCTTCTGTTGCTTCTGCAGGCACGTCGCGCTGCTTGCTCACGTCCTCCTTCCGGCCGTCGGCGCCGTTCTCCGCCGCATCGCCGTGCTCGGACTCCTGCGAGGTGTCCGCCGCGTCGCTTTCTTCTACTCCGCCAGCGTTGAGGTCTCCCTCTCGGCCCGAAAACAGTCCTTCCAAGCCTCGCCCGCGCCTCCGATCTTCGCGACGGCGATAACTTGCATCCGGCGAGCGATACGCTCCCGTCTCCTGGCGATATCCCAGATCGCCACCCCCATGGCGCGTTTCCGTCCGCCACGGATCACTCCTCACCATGGCCGATTCCGATCCGCCGGCTCTTCCTTGTGCAGATCCTTCCTCTCGGCGTTCATGCCCGAGAGGCACCTGATCCGCCCGAAAGGCAGGCCTTCGCGGCGATCGATCTGGCCTCCGCGGAGACCGCTCCAGCGACCGCCCACGCTCGCGGGAGTGTCCGCGCCGTGAGCGATCCTGCTCATGCCGACTATACGTCCGGCCATAACGCACGTCGTACCCGTCCATGCTTGCACGCACGCAGAATTCTTTCCGTTTGTTATGAAAGTGACGAGACTCTCACCTCAACGGTCCTCCCTGAGTGGGTGTCACCAAACGCAAGGCTAGAGGTAACCAGAATCCACTATACGAAAGGATAACAAACGGAAAGCATTGTGTGTGTGTGTGAGAGTGAACTTACCTGTCCCTGGCTCGAGCCGTGCATTTCTCAATTTGCGGCTCGGGCCTGGGTGGGTTTGTTCCCATTGGTCGCAAGATTTCACCCCTTGGTGATCTCCTACCGACTCCGCGTCAATTTCCCAGCCCCCCACCTACTTATTCTTGAGGCTGCATACACCAAATACAACACATCACTACACCCGTCCTACACCTTAATCATACTAGCACCTTATATGCACAACCGTGCATATTCGGTGACACAAGCCCCTTCCGAGCCGCCGAGTCGCCGAGCCGCAGTTGCCGCCGAGCCGCCCGAGTCGCCCGAGCCGCCGAGCCACAGTTGCTGCCGAGCCGCCGTGCCGCCGAGCCGCCCGAGCCGCCCGCACCGCCGAGTCGCCGAGTCGCTGAGCCTGCTCTTCCCACCACTGGTGAGCCCCTGCCCTGCTAGCGCGCTGCCCGCCGCCTGCTTGCCTGCCTGCCTGCCTTTCGGCCTGCCTGGCTGCCTGCCTTACTGCTGCTACTCCTGCTCCTGCTTCTACTGGCGGAGCCAGATGCAGCCCCAGCGACGTCCGCGCGAGTCCCTCACGCCCCAGCAGCTGCGTGAGTGGTACGCTGGTTGGGGTTGTAGGGGTGGCGGCGCTGCTACTGCTACCACTACTGCTGCTACTGCTACTGGCGGCGGCCAGATGCAGCTCCAGCAACGCCCACGCACGTCTCTCACGCCCCAGCAGCTTCGTGAGTGGTACGCTCAGAGTAGAGTGTCTCTCAGTTCTGTTCGCTGCTCTTACGTGATTCGCACTGGTGCTCGGACTGGTCAGCCTTGTGGGACACCTAGTCACACACAGTCCCGCTACTTCGCCCGTCTGAGCGACGCCTGGCGTACCGAGTTTGGCAACGAGGCTGAGCTCCCCGATTGGGTGGAGTTGCTTAGGCAGAGGGTAGATATATTTGCTCTTGACTATGATGCTATTCTCACTGCCATGTATGCATTGCCTACTAGTGCTGACCGTGCCGGTCACCTGTGCGTACCGCCTGACCCGGTTATAGAGCCTGCTGCTCTAGGTGCTGGTGAGGCTGCTGCTCTGGGTGCTAGTGAGTCTCCTGCTCCAGGTACAGGTGCGGCTGCTGCTCTAGGTGCTAGTGAGTCTGCTTCCTCAGGTGCGGGTGAGTCTGCTCTCTCAGGTACCGCGTCGGCTCCGGCCTCTCACACCTTCACTCTTGACTCGGGGGCTTCCCGCTCCTTCCTTCGAGACCGCACCACACTCACGCCGCTTGGTCGGCCAGTTGCAGTCTCTCTGGCAGACCCCTCTGGGGGTCCTGTCCTTGCTCACTTCTCCACTGTCCTCCCGTGTCCGGCGGCCCCCTCTGGCACCCTGTCTGGTCCTTACCTCCCCTCGTTCTCTACGAACTTTGTGAGTGGTGCTGACCTACAGGATGCGGGGGTTCACCAGTTCACTCCTGCGAGTCAGCGGGTGACCCACTGCACGGACGCTCGGACAGGCCGACACCTGGCCACGTTTACACGTCGGCCGGGGTCGAGCCTGTACACGCTGACCACTACGTCTCCTCCAGTCACTGCGTCTGGTCAGGTAGCTGCGTCGGGTCAGGTGTTTGCTGCAGCGTCCAGGTCTGGTCCTGAGTCTGCCCCCTGCTCGTGTCGTCTCCTGTCTCACAAGACTCTCCTCTGGCACCACCGCCTTGGTCACCCCTCCCTGCTTCGTCTCCGAAGCATGGCCTCCCGTGTCCTTGTCTCTGGTCTTCCCCGGTCCCTCCCTCCCCTTCCTCCGGGGCCTGGCCCTACCTGCGTCCCCTGTGTCGAGGGGCGGCAGCGGGCTGCCCCTCACTCCTCTCAGTTTCCTCCGACAGAGGCCCCGCTGCAGACGCTTCACATGGACGTGTGGGGCCCAGCTCGCGTCCGTGGACAGGGTCACGAGCGCTACTTTCTGCTGGTGGTTGACGACTACTCGCGTTACACCACAGTCTTCCCCTTGCGCAGCAAGGATGATGTCACTGAGGTGTTGATCGACTGGATCCGCGCAGCTCGTCTCCAGCTCAGGCGGAGCTTCGGCTCGGACTTTCCTGTTCCGCGTCTGCACTCTGACAGAGGCGGAGAGTTCTCCTCTGGCCTTCTGCGAGCCTACTGTCGTGCACGAGGCATCCGCCAGACCTTCACGCTTCCGGACTCTCCACAGCAAAATGGGATTGCTGAGCGCCGCATTGGCATGGTCATGGACGTCGCCCTTACGTCCATGATGCATGCGGCTGCCCCCCATTTTCTGTGGCCGTTTGCGGTCCGGTACGCGGCGCATCAGATCAACCTTCAGCCCAGGGTCTCCATGCCGGTGACCTCCCCAGCTTTGCTGTGGACGGGGAAGGTTGGCAATGAGTCTACGTTCCGTGTCTCGGGATCTCGGGCGTTTGTCCGCGTCTCGTCTGCGGACAAGCTATCCCCTCGTGCTGCTCCCTGCGTGTTCCTGGGTTTCCCCCCTGACGCGCCAAGGTGGCAGTTCTACCCCCCGAGAACGCCAACGCTTTCCAATACAATCAACACTTGAGATTCTTTCAGCCCGTAATGATAGAAGGCCATGAACTGCCGCCCTACTGTTACATTATGGCATCAGTTGGGTTGTAAATGTGCGAGTGTAACACCCAAACATGGGTGTACACTTTGGGCCAAGGCGCCCCAACCAGTTGTGGCTGGGCGCGTCCCAACCCCACTCTGCCACAATTGGCGGGGGGAACGAGGCCCCCCAATAATTGGCAGCCACCTCCAAAACATTATTGGTGGCCACTCCCATTGGCTCACCAATAATGTCGCAGGGTACCCAACCTAGGTCCCCCACTTCTCATTGCTTATATGTACCCACGATCTTTCTAATCAAATCAACTCTTGAGTTCACCTCTCATCCCAACTATGGGATTCTCACACCTACCTGATAGAAGGCCATGAACTGCCGCCCTACCTGATAGAAGGCCATGAACTGCAGCACATGGAAGGCACCCGGGGTGTCCCCCGCACTGAGGCTGAGCACATGGTCGTACTGCCTCAGCTGCATGCACGGTGGGGCCAAGGGGCCAGTCAGGGAGGGTGGAAAAGTGAAGGGTTGGGGTTTAATGGAGGGAGGTGGCACATGTATAGGTGGCACATGTATAGGTGGCACATGTATAGGTGGCACATTTATAGGTGGCACATGTATAGGTGGCACATGTATAGGTGGCACGTGCATAGGTGGCACATGCATAGGTGGCACATGCATAGGTGGCACATGCATAGGTGGCTTGGCTTGGAGGAAGCTACAGACATGGTGAGGGGAAATCCAGGAAGGATGCCGCGCATGCTCACATGCAGCGCATGCTCACATACAGCGCATGCTCACATACAGCGCATGCTCACATACAGCGCATGCTCACATACAGCGCATGCTCACATGCAGCGCATGCTCACATACAGCGCATGCTCACATACAGCGCATGCTCACATACAGCGCATGCTCACATACAGCGCATGCTCACATACAGCGCATGCTCACATACAGCGCATGCTCACATACAGCGCATGCTCACATACAGCGCATGCTCACATACAGCGCATGCTCACATACAGCGCATGCTCACATACAGCGCATGCTCGCATACAGCGCATGCTCACATGCAGCGCATGCTCACATGCAGCGCATGCTCACATACAGCGCATGCTCACATACAGCGCATGCTCACATACAGCGCATGCTCACATACAGCGCATGCTCACATGCAGCGCATGCTCACATACAGCGCATGCTCACATACAGCGCATGCTCACATACAGCGCATGCTCACATACAGCGCATGCTCACATATAGCGCATGCTCACATACAGCGCATGCTCACATACAGCGCATGCTCACATACAGCGCATGCTCACATACAGCGCATGCTCACATACAGCGCATGCTCACATACAGCGCATGCTCACATACAGCGCATGCTCACATGCAGCGCATGCTCACATACAGCGCATGCTCACATACAGCGCATGCTCACATACAGCGCATGCTCACATACAGCGCATGCTCACATACAGCGCATGCTCACATACAGCGCATGCTCACATACAGCGCATGCTCACATACAGCGCATGCTCACATACAGCGCATGCTCACATACAGCGCATGCTCACATACAGCGCATGCTCACACACAGCGCATGCTCACATACAGCGCATGCTCACATACAGCGCATGCTCACATACAGCGATGCTCACATACAGCGCATGCTCACATACAGCGCATGCTCACATACAGCGCATGCTCACATACAGCGCATGCCCATTCTCGCAACGCATGGGCACGAGGGTATGAGCATGGGCATGGCCATGAGCACGGGCATGGGCATAAGCATGGGAATGGGCATGAGCATGAGCATGGGCATGGCCATGGGCATAAGCATGGGAATGGGCATGAGCATGAGCATGGGCATGGCCATGGGCATAAGCATGGGAATGGGCATGAGCATGAGTATGGGCATGGGCGTGGGCATGAGCATGGGAATGGGCATGAGCATGAGCATGGGCATGGGCGTGGGCATGAGCATGGGAATGGGCATGAGCATGAGCATGGGCATGGCCATGGGCATAAGCATGGGAATGGGCATGAGCATGAGCATGGGCATGGGCGTGGGCATGAGCATGAGCATGGGCATGGGCATGGGCATGGGCATGTCCGCATGTGGATGTGGGCATGTGGGCATGGGCATGGGTGATGGGTGGCGGCTGACAGCGCTGGGGAAGTCGCCGAGGGCGTGGAGGGCGGAGGCCACAGCGTGGTTCAGCTCGATGTCGCCCGGGTTGCCCCGCAGCCCCCTCTGCGCGCTCTCCATCGCCGCTCTGCCGACATGAGCAACGAGCGAACCGAACACGTTTGTCTTGAACAGTTTGCGAACACTTGGTCAGTTCGAACCGAAGCGAACACGTTTGACTCGAAAAGTTTTCTTAAATGTTAGTGTTCCCTGTTCGAGTATCGGGTTGAACAGTTTTGAGGCAAGGCCGAACACTAAGGTGTTTGACCCGAACTCCAACAGTTTGCCTTGGGGGGTTCTTTCAGTATAGTCACATTCAGACAGGGCGAGTGTACTAGAAGCAATATCACGTTCCAAGAGATATAGTTAGGCTTGACCCATATCTGGTGGATATCCAATTTCACCCTGCTAAACTCCAGCCTAAACCGTACTGCCCTTAGTTCCTTTTTTTAACCGTCTCCTACCCTAATCCAACCTACCTAACGTTTCCAGCCAAACTGTGGAATTTTAACCGTGGGAATGTGTTAGTTTAAGTGGGTAGGGGGCGGAATGCCATCCTTAGGCTATATCGACGATAGAGTTAATTCTTGAGCTCAATCGCCGCCCTCCCCTTTTAGATCCAACCAGCCCGTCAAACATTGACGTGCAAAAAAATGCACCAACACCTAGGTGTTTGCGACGAACACA